CTTCCCAGAGCACCCCAGCCTGATATGGAGGGCTTCCTATTGTCCTTGGCTGCCACAGAAGGTGCACCCACCTGGACTTGGGTCATCTTCAGAAATAACACATGAGCCCTGGTCTCTGAGAGTCCCATAGTCACTAAAGGGACTGGGATGACGAGGGTGGCACCTCCTGCCCCTCAAGGGCTGACCCCACCCTGGGACAGCATCTTCATCAGCCACAAGTTGGCACAAATCGGGGCCTTAAAGCTGTGGAAATACATTCTTTCCCAGCTTTGGGAATAGGAAGCCACAGGGCAGCCTCACCAGGCTGATAGCAAGATGGCACTGTGCTGTAGAGGCTCACAGAGAACCTGCTCTCCTCTTCTAGCCTCTGGTCCCCTGGCAGTTCCTAGCATTCCTCGATTTGGGACTCTGATCTCTGCCTCCAGGTCCCATGGCTCTCTCCATTGTGCTTCCCGACCTCTGAGGAACCTGTGATGACGCCTAGGACTGGCCACTAGCATCATCTCAGACTTTGATTTGCCGTGTCTGCCATGTCCCTTGTTGAACAGATGCAGTTGACCACAGGTTCCAGGGACGCAGATGTGTATCTGGGAAACGTCCCCAGCTTCCCCCATGCCTTTGGCACATGTTTTTCCTCCCCTCCAGCCCATAGACTCATGGCTGTGATGGCTCTTTGCTCATGAAGAGACAGGCACAGAGAAGGCACACAGTTTTCTCCCAGTCACACAGCTCAGAGTAAGCCAAACTAAGCTAAAATTGAACCCAGGTCTTTTGCTATTGTGCCTGCTATTCTCACTGGTCATCTCCATCCATCATCCATCCACCATCCATCCATTCACCATCTGTCCATCCATCACCCATCTGTCCATCCATCCACTCACCCATTCTATCCATCCATCTATCCATCATCTATCTATCAACCATCCACCCATCCATCAACCATCCATCCATCCATCCATCATCCATCTATTGGACACAGTAGCATGGCCTCTAGTGAGCATAGGCTTAGTACTTGGCAAGCAGACCTAGTGGTTGCCTACTCCTGGGCCTGTCCACCCACCAGGGACGTAGGACAAGCTTGAGCATGTCACCACCTGTCATTTCTCCCAAGGGAGCCCAGTCATCAGCTAAGCTCAAAATGGGAAAGGCTCCATCTTCCACAGGAGCAGCTCACAGGGTATCCAACCTTGACCTGGATCTGGGAAGCTTCTTGGGCAAGGGGCTTCTGATGTCACTCTTGGGAGAGAAATGAGAGCAGCTGAGAAGTGTGCAGATGAGAAGGTGGCAGCTGGGGTCAGAGTTGCAGCCTGTCTACAGGTCACAGGTCACCCCAGAAGCCAGCCCAGGAGAGGTGTGGGCTGACAGTCAAGAGTCTAGCCTCTCCTTTCCCATCTTCATAGAGGCTCCAGATCATGCAAAGGACCGTCAACTCCTAGGGTTTTAACTTATTGCCTTCACTGGCCCCTCATGATCACGCCAACATCTCTTTGGGTTCCAGTAGTTATCTGTGAGATGGGACATAGGCTCCTGCCTGGCTCTGGCCTCATGGTCCTGTCTCAGCTGCTCAGGGTGGGTTCCTCCCACCCTCTCCCACCCAGGTGCTCAGATTGAGTCTGGGTGAGTCAGCACGCTGTTCACTTTCCCAGACAGGCATTGCTGGGTGGGGCTCAGGGCCCCCCCACTCCTCCCCCCCCACACCCCCTCCCATTTCCTTCCCCTCCTCTCAATCCATTAGGATGGAACACGTCCATTCCTGCCCCAGGGCTGTTCCAGGCTTCACAGCCCACGCCCTCCCTCCCTTCAGATCCCCATCTGTGAAAACTTTGCTCCTGCTCCCAGCCTGAAGCACTCTCAGACCGCCCCTCCAGGAAGACATGGCCGCCATCATTCTAGCTCCCCGGGGACCCATTACCAAGGGTCTGGGCATGCTAGCTCAGGCCCAGTCTTGGTACTAGGGTGCACGTGGCCGGCCACGTGGGGTCCTCATCACCTCAACTTCTCCTTTAGTCTCCTGCCAGAACTCCTGTGCTGACATGTGAGAAGGGGGCGTGAGCTGGGCATGTCAGGAGGGTGAGCTGGGTGTGCTCCGCGTGCTGAACTCTGTGTTCCCGTGTTGTTCAATGTGAGACGGGGATGTACCGGCTCAGCACCTACTAAGCGCCTGGTACAGCTCCTCTGCACACTTGTTGTTCACCTGTCTACACCTGCTCATCCATCTACACCCGCACCAGCCCGCCGGCCAGGAACACTCAGCTCTGAGGGGTGTGGTATCAGGCCACACAAGAGTGGCAACACAGAGATTTAGGCCCCCATCTGTCCATCCCCAAAGTCCAAACCCTGCCTACACATGTAGGGGTGGCCTTTTAGACACACACACACACACACACACACACACACACACACACACACACACACACACACACACCAGGATCAGCTGGAAACCAGCTAAGTGATGCCTCAGAGGGACCACCAGGCAGAGCTGCCAGGGAGGATGCAGTGAGAGGAAGCTTGTGTCTTAGTGAACTGGAAATGCCAGCATGTCCAACGGACCACCTGAGGGCAGAGGCTGGCTTCCATTCTGGCTCTTGGGCGAGACTCATGACTTTCATATGTGTATGTGAGTGAGGATATGCATGTGTATATGTTTGTGTGTGTTCAAGTACTTATGCACATATGAGCATAGATGTGGAGACCAAGGGGTGGCATCAAGTATCTTCCTCAACCACTCTGTCTTATTTTTTGAACCTTGTATTTCCCCAGTGGCCCTGGGAGACCAACCTGAGACCCTAGCAGTGTTCTTTGGGAGGTGTGGAATAAGTTTGTGAAGGAGCTTCAGTCAGGGAGTTGCCTAGAGGTCACACACACACACACACACACACACACACACACACACACACACACACCCCTCACACAGAAAAACTGATCCTGAATCTTGAACTTCTCCTTCACCAATGGCCCCTCATCTGAGTGATCTGACTGAAGCTAAACATTTGCCCTTGCAGATCCAGCCTTTTGCTCAGCCTGTTTGCCGTGAGCTCTTAGGATCTCATTCCTGGAGCTGGTATTGTCATGGTTGTTGGTCTGTGTCCTGTCCATGTTCCTAGCATGCATGCATTGCCCATACATTAACATGTGCAGGCACACAGGAGTAGGGCTGCAGCCCACACATGTGGGTCAGCTGAGCCTAGGCCCAGCAAACCCAAGGGGAAGTGTTCAGAGTTCCACTACCGGGATTGTAGCGCTGGTGATGTGAGTGTACAGCGTCCTTTCTGTGAGTGCGCACAAGCCTACTGAGTCAGAGCACAACCTCCCAAGTGTCGTTCCTCAGGTGCCTTCCACCTTTGGTGTGAAACAGGGTCTCTACTGGCCTTGAACGTTGCCAGGTAGCAAACCTGGCTAGCCAGTGTGTTCCAGGAGTCTGCCTGTGTCTTCCTCCATCTCAACACGGCTACAGCTGCAAGCCCATGCCACCACTCCCGGTTCCTACCACTATCTCTGGGGATTGGATTTGGATCCTCAGGCTTGCAAGGCAAGCACTTTACCCACAAAGCCCTCTCTCAAACCCCATGGGGCTTCTGGTCTGGGGCCCCTGGCTGATTCTTCCTAGGTCTGACTCTAAGCTAGAGACGACTGAGGGAGGTTGACATGGAGGATCGGCAGGACAAGCTTCTGTGGGAAGTCTCTCTGTGGGCACCTGTCCATGGCGATGGCTTCTCCTGTGCCCCACGGGCCTTTCTGAGAATATCACCTTTTGTCTCCACAGGCCTCCCACCCTGAGTGGCAGCCCTGTCATCTCAGATATCTCCTTGATCCGACTTTCTCCACACCCCGCCGGCCCCGGGGAATCCCCCTTCGGTGCGCACCACCCCTACGTGAACCCCCATATGGAGCACTACCTCCGGTCTGTACACAGCAGCCCCACACTCTCAATGATCTCTGCAGCCAGGGGCCTCAGCCCTGCTGATGGTAAGTGGTGCTGGAGCAGGAGCAGCAGGGACACTGGGTGACTCGGTGGCTCTGTCCACACAGCCAGGCTGTTGTCCATCGTCTTCCAATAACATATAAAATTACGATTCCATCAATGGATGGAGCTATTGATTACGTCAAAGCCCTCATGATCCAGTCATTTCCCCAAAGGACCACCTCTGCACATTGCACTGCGGACCCAAGTTTTCACACATGAGCCACTGAGGGATACCAGACCATAGCAGCCACATCATAGGAACAGACCGCTGCTTGCAACACACCAAAGGCTGCAGAAGCCAGTGTTAAGTAAGGGCTATTGTGTAGGAATATCTCCAGGAACTGAACATCAAAAGGAAGGCAGAGCAGAGCTAGCTGCTGCCCGGATCTCTGTTTTCTGTCTCTGTGCCGATCAACACAGATGGTGTCCTAACCCCCAGGGATCCCCTGGAGCTGAGTTACAGGCAGCTGAGGCCCCAACCCCCAGGGACAGACCAGTGACTTTGTGTCAGCTCAGAGGCTTAGAAGGGACCAACCCACTGGATCAGGTTGATTTGAACCAGAAGTGAGCCGTCGTGTAATATAGTGACTCTCTCAGATCTAAATTCTATCCTGGGGGCTGAAGAGGCAGCTCAGTTGGCAAGTCTGAGTTCAATCATCCAGAACCCAAGTTTTTAAAAAAAGAAAAGAAACAAAAAGTAGGGCCCAGTGGCAATCCATTGGACTCCCAGCCCTGGGGGAACAGAGACTGAGGTCCTCTTGCTGGCCAGTCTAGCAGAATCAGTGAGGTCCAGGTTCAGTGAGAGACCCTGCCTCCAAAAGACAGCAGAGAGCAGCTGAGGAAGATATTTCCCCGTTGAGACTCCAGGCCAGGGGTGCATTTCTTTTTACTTCCTCAAACAGTAAATTCTGCTTTTCTAGATTTTATTTATATATTTTCATTCCATGTGTGTGTGCATGCATGTTTGCATAGGTTCCTCCAGAGGCCTGAAGAGAGTATTAGATCTCCTGGAGCTGGAGTGACGGGTAGCTGTGAGCCACTCACCATGTGTGCTGGGGACTGAACTCAGGCCCTCGGCAACAGCAGTGTGTATGCCTAACTGCCGAGCCCTCCCTTGGACAGTAAATTCTGACGGTTTCTCTCTCTTCCCTTCTGTGGCAGTGGCCCACGAGCATCTGAAAGAGAGAGGGCTCTTTGGTCTTGCTGCCCCGGCTGCCAACCCTTCAGACTATTACCACCAGATGACCCTCATGGCAAGCCACCCTACACCTTATGGGGACCTGCTAATGCAGAGTGGAGGTGCCGCCAGCGCACCCCATCTCCATGACTACCTCAATCCTGTGGATGGTGAGTCGCCGAGGGAGCACGGAGGGGAAATGGTGTGGGGCGAGGGTGACTGGCTGGCTGGCACAAAAAGCAGTCACTCAGTCCCTCTGGAGGCAAGAGACACAAGTGGAAGTCCACACTGCACCCCAACACTGTCGACGCTGCTGCCATGGGGGCTGAGGCTGGGTGGCCAAGAGCCCTGTGGTCATCGCAAAGAATAGAACGTACTCGCTTAACTTTGGGAAGAATCTGTAGTGGCAGCTGCAGACACCGCCCAGCATCGGGAATTGGTAAACTGAGATGGGATAGGGTAAACAAACTAGGGGTGGAGGCGCATCCTGGGGTGATGGGATGCAACTCTGAGAAAGAGTCGGGGAGACAAAGGTGTCCCTCACTAGCTGTGCAGGGGATGCTAATCAAGCACAGAGCTGAAGAGGCGAGTCCACCCACTAGCTCAGGGAAGAGCTGTCCCAGCAGAGGATCAGCCTGATGCAAAGGGCCTGAGCCGTGCTCCTGCTGGGCTCAGGAGACCAGTGTGGTGGGTAGAAATCAAGCAAAAGGCGGGAATGGTGCTGAGGCCAGTGTTCTGGGGTGGGCCGTGCCACCCAGCTGGGGCTTGCTAAAGGCTTTGCTGGAGTGAAATGGGGCTGTGGAGTCATGCTGATCTGAGAACTGAGTCGGGGCAGGCAGCAGTAGACCCCGTCCATCCGTGAGCCATAGGTGAGTTCCATTCAGGGGGATTACTGGCTAGAGATGTAAGATGCGTTCCCATCTCGAACATGGACGTGCAGGGAAAGAGGAGCGCAACACTTACGTTCCTTCTTGCCTCTGCTGTGACCGAATATTGGACGCCTCACACCCCCACCCCTAGTAAAAAAAAAAAAAAAAAAAAACTAACAGAGGCGCCGTATGAAGGAAGATTTGTTGCGGCTCACACTTCAGTCACGGTGGGGAAGGCGTGGTGGCAGGAGCGAGAGGCAGCAGGGCACGTCACATCCAGTCAAGAAGCAGAGACACGCCGTCTTCTCCTCTGTGTTCAGTCTGGACCCCAGCCCCACAGCACGGTGTGGCTCATAGTCAGGGTGGGTCTTCTCACCTCGGTCAGCACGATCCAGAAAATCCTCCACACACGTGTCTCCTGGATGGTTCTGTACCTTTCCGAGTTGACAACAGTTATAAACCATCCTAAAGAGCCAAGGTCTAGGATGAGCTGTCGGTGACAAGATGGGGCATGTGCTGGGCTGTTTTACGGGGTGGGAGTCTTGGACAGATGAGGTCTGGGGTGCACAGCAGACACCACGTCCTTCCTTCTCACCGGAAGCCACCCCTGTGGCTGCTCTCACAGAGTGCCATAGCCCCCTGACCACGAGCCCCTGGGTCGGCATGCAGCCCCTGCCCGTGGGAAAGACACCGAAGCTCATTACTGTTGTCCCCTCCGTCCAGACTCCGTTCCACCTAGCAACCCTAGAGCTATGCAAGGACGCGGGGCTGCAAGCTAAGCAGAGTAGAAACCGTCAGGAACTAGGCTGGTGGCGCCTTCAGGCGCCTCTCCTCTGGCCCTGCCAGGAGCAGCTTCTTCATGCCACAGTGGCACGTGGTGGGGGAGACAGACCTGCCACAGAGAGGCCATCTGGTCCTGCAGGGCAGCAGGTTGGAAACGGGCTGCGGCAGCTGTTTAGAGGCCGCCGAGGCTGCGAGACTCAGGGTGGGCCCATAGCATCCAGGCCTCCGCTCACACCCTAGGCTCCACTCCTGGGCTCCCGGCCACATCCACCGCTGCAGCTCTGCTCGGTGGCCTTCTCCAGTTGTCCAGTTGAGCTATCTCTTTACAGAGGTGGGACTGAAAGTGTTCCTTCTCCAGGAAGTCTGTCCAGATGCTTCCTGCCTCCTCTGGTTTGTCCTGCCTCTCTGAGACTTAAAGACACCCCGCTCCCCACCGCCACCACACATGCAAGGTCAAGTTTCTGTCCATGCCTGCCATTCCCTGATGAGAAGCTGCTGATGCCAAAGTAATGCTGCCAACATTCAGTCTAGTGTCTGTCCCACCCTTCAGTGCCTTCCTCAAGAAGGTGTTGGGTCCAGGATTCAGCACAGTGTAGGACATCTGTGGGGCTCCTTTCCCATCCTTTCCCACAGCAGGGAGTGAGGTCAGGGATTAGGGAGGGTGCATCTGGGACACAGTGTTTTCCAGTGTTGCAAACCCAGCCACAGCAGCAGGAGGCAGGTGCTGAGGTCAAGTGCAGAGTCATGCCCACATGCCAGCTTCTGCCGCTCTGGGCAGCCTCCCTCCAAGGGCTAGCGCAGAAACATGGACATCACTGGCAAGTGGACAGATGCATTGATGCCGTGGCGAGGGGACCGAGTTGAGCAGGTGTGCCCACACAGCAGGAGAGGCAGAACTGGGCAGCGAGGCGTCACACTGTGGCTGCGCTCCTGAGCGCCTGCTGGGGTGTGCACCTCCATGCACTGCCATGCATGCAACGGACAGAGAAATTACAGTGTTTCTCCTACGGCTAGAGTTAGGACCTTGCTTAGGATGAGCAAACACGTCCTCTAGGTGGAGTTCTAAGCCTAGCTCTCTGAGCTGGGCCACAATGCCCCCTTGCCAGTTCCTGAGCTCTCTCCTTGAGAAGGCAGCTGGGCAGCTGGGTTTAGAGTCGGCACAGAGCAGCAGGGCAGGAGGCAGAAGGGAGCCAGCACTGATACCTTGGGACCTAGCGAGGAGGCAGCAGGGGGGACCCGGGTCAGCCTCTGCTGTCCCCACCTTCTCTGGGATAGCTAGGTCTAGAGATATCAGTAAGTGGGACACGATGTTTATATGCCAAGTGGATGAAGCTAACTGAGGAGTACGCAGTAAATGCAGAATAAAGGTAAATGTGGTCTACTGGCTGGCATCCACTGGGTGCTCAATTAATGCTAGGCGTGACCTCTGACTACCAGTATCCCTTTACCTCCTTCCAATCCACCCTCATCTCCAGGAGTCCACCTCTTAGCTGTCATCACCCCCTTCCACGTGGAGTATCTACCCGGGTCATAGGCCACTCTGGGCATCATGTCCTCATCACCTCCCAAGTGTGCTCGGTGTGGCTTGTCCCCTCTCCCCACAGCACTGTACTTACCAGAGTTATCAGGGCCAGAGTTACCCCGGCAGCAATAACAAGCCCAGCTCAGCAGTCCGTCCTCAATAGGCCAACTAAACAGATTAGTAATAGTGAAATAGAGAAGGATCTGTTCACTGTGGCCACACTGGGAAGAGGAACAAAGAGGACCAGTGAACACACACACACACACACACACACACACACACACACACACACACACACACACACCTTCCATCTGCAGGGTTTAAATAAGAAGTTTAAGTTTAAATGGAGGGTGAGAGGTATAGATAGCTAAGCGGTCCTGGTCAACGTGGGATCTATCCATTAAACATTCCCTGCAAGATGTTCTGACAAGTTGTCAGAACTGTGCGAACTCTTTCTGGGAGACAAGCTCACCCTCAGGCTGGACCCAGGTTTCAGCCCTTCCCTTCTTCCAGTGTGAGCTTCCTGGGGAAATTCCACTTCTTTGGAGTCTATTGTCCGACAGCCGTGGGACCCGACACAAGTGTCTCTTGAGGGAGTCTTCTTTCCTGCAACCTCAATGCTGCCTCCCAGAGCAGGTCCCCTGGTGCCCCCTGCTCTGCTTGTCCGTGGTGGCATGCCAGAGGGCTTGCGAGCTGTGCACCTCCAAAGTCATCCCAGGCACCAAGCCCTGGGTGCCTGAGGCACCAGGGGAGCGCCAGGCACCCAACTCTAGCTGACCGGGATGTCTTTCACATAAGACGGCCAGCCTTGCTGCTGGACCGGGTGGCTCACAGCCTGTAAGACCTGCTGAGTCAGCAGAGCGGCCGGCGCAGGAGACCTGGGAGAGACCACTGATGACTGGAGTGGGCAGGGGAGCTGGGGCCGGCTGTGGGTGGCTTAGAAGGGGTTGCAGACACTATGCACTCCAGGACATCCAGCACTGGCTGCGTCTGGGGCCTGGGCATGTCTAAGAAACGGGATGATCGGGGCTGGAGGAGCTCACGGGCTGGGAGCACCCACCTCCAAGGGCACCAGCCCTTGCTGTAGCTTACCACAGCCACCCACCTCTCCACTGCCGTGTTAAGGTCCTGAGCAGGATTGGAATGGCAGGTGGTAGCTGGGGAGGATTGGGGGACAGAGTATGAACAGCCAGCTACTTCTTTCTCCTGGTTCCTAATCTGTCACAACCCAAGAAAACCATACCAATCCGTAAGGATGTTCTGGTTTTCCTGTTCATCTTACTCAGTTGGGAGTTTCCAAGCAGATTCACTCTTTATTTTTCACTCAGGTTGGAACCTAGGGCCTCGCACATGCTAAATGCCAACCCCACCACTGAGCTAGGCTTAGACTTTTCTTTCCTTTTTTTCTTCAATTTTGTATTTTGCTTATTTGTTGTGTATGTGTGAGCATGCATGCCACAGTGCTCATATGGGAATTGGTTTTCTCGTCACATCGTGTGGGACTGAGGGATGGAACTCTAGTCATCAGACTTGGCAGCAAGCACCTCCAGCTGATGCACCATCTCAGATCTACTTCAGCCCTTTCCAAACTAGTGGGAGGCAGAGCTTCAATCTTTGCTTCAGATTTTTATAGTATATGGGACATTTCCACTCAGCTTAGTACCTATACAGATAATCTGCTGTGTTTCTGAGAGATGCTAGATAAGCCCCGCCCCACCCAACCTGGTCCATGGCATCCCCCAACTCCATCCTCCTCCCCTCAAGCGGACCTTGTGAGCCAGGGCAGTTAGATCTTTTTGACCAAGTTCCTTTGTGCCCAGTGTTCCTGCAGAAGAAATGACGCACGCTCGCGCGAGCGCGCACACACACACACACACAAACACACACACACACACACACACACACTCACACACACACACACACACACGCCCGCGCAGTCAGAGGCTGTTTGCTCAGCATGCCTCCTGGGTAGGTTTCTCTACTGCTATGATAAAGC